ACGAGGCCGGCGGGGTGGGACTTGCCCGAGCCACCCAAGTCGCCGACGCCGACTTCCTTGTTGTTCGTTTTGATAGTCGCAGTGAGGCCGTTCTCGGCGGCGACGCTCTCGATCACGCCGTTGGCAAAGGCGACCTCGACGGTTTGCCAGGAGAGGGCGGTGTCCGCGTCGATGAGCACGCCGGACGTACCGATCGTTGCCGTGTCGCTCGAGTACGCAAAGATTTGCATCGTCTGCCCGATCTTGCGCCCAAAGATCGTGCCGTACGTGTCGGTACTCGCGAGCGAGCGCCGGGCGCGGGGCGTGGCCAAGAGCGCCGCCCCCGCGGCCTTCTGCTCGCCGCCGCCGCCGCCGCCGCCGCCGCCGCTGCCGCTCAGGCCGGGGGCGGCCACGACCGAGGCGGGGGCGTGCTTCGCGAGGAGGAGCCCGGGCTCGCCCCGCACCGCCGCGGCCGGGTCGAGGAGGAGGAGGAGGGAGAGAAGAAGGGAAGACATCAGAGACATCTCGATTCTCACTGCTCGGCGTGCGCCACGCCACCCCAAAGACACCCTTAGATGCACTCCAAGAGTGCTCCAAGTGTGAGGCACCGTGCGCCGCGCAGCAGTGCGGAAACGGGGCTCCGGCTCTACTAGTCTCTACTAGCACCGACTTCCCGATTAAGCTAGGTTAATCAAAGGGCAGATTTGGAGAGATCTCGAGGAGTACATACAGACAGATAGACCCTCCATCCAATCATGAGAAACATCCAACCTGATCGGTCGTACTGACCGCCGACAGATCACTTCAGACAGCAGACAGGCCGACGTCTGCACGCGGCCGACCGGCGAGAGGCTTGACACGATCCGACCCTGCGACCCTGACGCTGCTGCTCTAGCTATCAGACATGCATGCACTGCTGACTGCTGCCACAATGTGCGACCGGTGCTGGCCCACTTGGCGGCCTTCCCGGTCAGTGGTGAGGCGCAGTTCAGAGCTGTCGATGGCGCGATGCCGCACTGGTCCCACATTGGTGACACGAGACCACCAAGTTTGCCGGTCCAAGAGAGAGGCACCGGCGCTGTCCTGAGAAGGAGCGTGGTCCCTCTTGACTGCCCATGCGCGCGAGGCTGTGTAGGCATAGCCTCGAGAGTGCCAGCAGCCAATCCGAGGCAGTTTGTGACGGGCATTGCGTCAGAAGCGTGCACGCAGCTGGAAGGGCACCTTCCTACTGGCCGTACGATCAGGTCGTCACTGAACATGCTGGATACTAAGGCCGCGAGCTATGCAGGTGATCAATTGTGCAGCAGGGCACGGTCAGCAGCGCCGACAGGCTGTCGCAAGGCGTGATAGCATGGCCGCAAGTACGCCGAATTCCCATGAAAAACAAGTGAAAAATTGCGCAAAAAAACCGAAAAAATCGGCGCCTGCGGCGGGCCATGGGACCCCATCTCCCCCCCGCATGGGTATCCTCTAGGGCCCTCGCAACCCCCCCCGGAGATAAGGAGCTGAGCTAGCTGCAGTGCAGCCACAGCCTTCAGCCCGATGGGTTGGCCTTTATCAGTCATGGTAATCTCTAGTCTTTCTTAGAGATTGAGAGGAGTGAGACCTGAAGATTTCAGGGCAGATCTCAGTCTCTAGTCCCGCCCTTGAGATCTCCCAAATCTTCGTCGAGACTTCAGCCACGAAATCTCAGTCTTCCCGTCGCTCGGTGTGAGTTTCTAGAGGAAACGCGTGAGATCTCAAATGGCGAAGATTCCTTTTCGCTTTGGGAGTTTGAGATTTCGATGAGGGGTGGGAGAGACTGAGACTGCAAGCAAGAGAGATTCCGTTTTCGATGCAGAATGCTGTGAACTTCCTCAACCTTCCAACGCCTTTATCTCGCTTCGTTCGAAAAACATCGCTTGCGGCACCACCGAAATCTAGGGCAGCGTGACTCGAGATTTGAGATTGAGACTGAAGCCCCAGCACGCTCGGCTTGCAATGCTTTGCGCCGCCGACACTCGCCGCCGCCGCCTGAGGCGGTTCTCCACGAAGCTGTGGCCGCTCGAGAGTGAGGATGAGATCGTCGCGCTTCTCCTCGGCATGGCCCGCTACCCAGTCGACACACCCGACCGCGCAGAGCTCATCGCTGCCGACATGCAAACAACGCACGCGTCCACGACCATCAACATCCTCGTCAGCAGCATCGAGAGCGAGGCTGGCATCAGCGCTCTCGTGGATCTTCTCGACCGCAAGCACTTCCATGAGCAGGAGAAGTCCACGCCGCTCCACCTGGTCCCGCAGATTGAGTTCTGCGCCGTCTACGCTTTGCAAGGGCAGAAGGTGTGCCTTGTGGTCAGCGACGAGCCCGTCCATCCAACCGTATACTGCACGCACGGGCGCTTTGACGGGCTCCTCTACTGCAAGCGCTGCCCAAATTCGCAAATTGTCAGTCTGGGGGGTACTTGAGGGGAGGGGGGAGGAGTCTGGGTGGTGCACTTGCCTAAGGTTCTTGCCCTCAAATTGCAAAAGATATGCAGTCATGCCCCTAAAGCCTAATACACACAATGCAACATATAATGCAACGAAATGCAATCACGCGCAAATGCAACGAATGCAAATATTGCATAATGCAACGAAATGCAATCACGCGCAAAATGCAGAAAATGCAAATATTGCATCATGCAACGAAATGCAATCAGCGAACGCAGTTGTAATGCAGCTGTAATGCAGGTGATGCATGCGAATGCAAAAAATGCAATGCATGGGCAAAAACCACACGCAATTTGGGCAAGAACCACACTTATGCCGCTTCGGTCCGCGTCGGCCTACCTCGGCCTCGAGGGTAACGGGGCCGCGCATCGATCGGCCTCCTCGAAAGCACCGCAGGGCGCCCCCTAGGATTGGGACGCCGTCCGACGCCCCCCCTCCTAGAGCTGCGCGGGCCACGTCCAAAACCTTTTGTGCCCGAGCTCCGTCTTGGACGCCTTCTTGTAGCAGCTCGCGCCGCCGACGGGCAGCGTCGAGAGGATGGGGCCCTTGAAGAGCTTGCAGCGGGACGCCTTGCCTTTGACGGTGTACTCGAACCCTGCGCGGGCCAAAGCGCGGTGTGCTGCGACCAAGAGGAAGGAGCTGAGGTGGGGGGGCGGGTGTGTGTGTGGTCAGTGGGGGGGGGGAGGCCCCCCTGACCAGCCCCGGTTGAAAGGGCACAGTTCGTGGCTCCCCAATTGCCC